ATGTATATAGAAAAGAAGATTATTAGCTAAACAGATGAGTACAGTGAGAAATCAAGTAAGAGCTATCCAGTCCTTTTCCCCACAGCCCTGGGCAAACATGAAACCATTTAGTCCAAAAATAACTCCTAAATCTTTGTTGTGTGCCTACTGCAAGCCATCTGTTTCTCATACCACAATGGGCATTCCTAGGCACCAAGCTGTAGGGGAGAGAGACTGGAAAATCTGCTTTTCATGAGGACTTTGGGGCTTCCTAGCTGTCTTGCAGAGTTGGGAGTGCCATGTTCAAAAGCTCCACTGTTTATTCTAGTCCTCACCACGGGGGACTGGATCCCAGGCCCTTTGGAGCACCGAGAGCAAGAAGATTTACTTCTTGCTTGGCCTTTCAGGTTCGTTTTTGTTTCAGCAGTGTCAGAGCATTTCGGTTATTTCTATGGAACATTGCAACGTTCTTTCCTCTTCCCACCCATGTAAATTGGAATTTTATTTTGCAAAAATAGGACAAAATGTTTATTGCAACCTTCCTCATGGAACAGAAGTCCCACTTCTGATCACTTCTTCCAACAGAGCCTCCACCCAAAGGGAAGATGTCCTTGAATACCCTCTTTTCCTCGATGAGTACAGAGCTTTCCCCATCTGCTCTCCGAGCATAGACACGAGCCCAAGCCTTGTCTCAACATGTTCCCAGCCTCCTTTCGTAATATGGAAATGACAGCGCTTGCTGCATGCGAAGCTGAAATCAAATGAATAAATGAATGTCAACAGACTGTGGGTAGAGGCACAGAGGTTGCATAACAGAGCGACTAGAAGTGCACAGATGCACAGAAGCCAAATTGGGTGCTGAGTGATTGTCAGGGCTTGTTTCTGAGGGATGCACCTAGTCATTTCACAAGCACAGCTGTCAGCCGATGAATTATTCCCAGTGAATTAAGAAACAAACCAAAAAAAGTCCTCTACCCATTCATGCAGGTCATTGGGAGCGAATATTTCGTGGCATCTCTAAGTAAATCGGGTGGTGAATTATTATGGAATGGTTCCTTTTCCCTGCAGGAACAAAGTCTGGAGATATCCTACAAAATCTTTACTATGTCGGTGTCAAACTCAATAATTCTCTCCAAAAAAATTATTACCAGCTGCACATTTGGCATTAATGTCACACTAAGGGCATGACTGCATGGATGAGGACTGACAGACTTATGCTCCGTGCCCTGGCTCTGAGCTGGCCAGATGCAAACTGATTCTGTTCCAGAAGCAGATAGCCATGTTAGCAGGAAGACAGCTTACTCGAGAAGCAAGGCCCTTTCAGGTGACTTTCTTGCCTATGAGTCCTTTAACCTGAACTGGAATGCTTTCTTTTTATCCTCCTCTCTTCCAGGAGACCTATACAACTGAATGCCGCTTTAACAAACATGGCAACAGCTCCTTAAATAAACAGCACGCTTTTGCGCCTCGTTCCCCTCGAACAGAAACGCTCCTTCAGCTTCTTTGTGCCACCTCCTCTCCAAAACTGCAGCAGCAGCAAAGCAATCAATGAGAGTGTGAAGTAATATCACATGCAGCAGACCTGTTTCATTCTGAACAAACACACAAATAACATCCATTTTGAGAAGGAGGCATGCACAAACACTTAGAAGCTAATTCCCAAACCCAGCAAGACAAAGGCAGAGTTAAAAGACTCAAAACACCTGAGCAAGCAAAACAGTCTCTTATCCCTCGCGAAAGCAAACACAAAGACGAATCGCATTCGCTTTTCAACCTGGCAAGCCAGCCATAATATATTGCCTGCCACACTGATGATGATTGTTCTTGTGCTCTCCACCTCAGCCTGATACACACTTGGCAGATTCATAACTCTTTCAAGCTCTCCAAGATAAACACGCGGGCGCTTGATAGAGAATTTCAATTATAACGTTCCTGGGAGCGTCGGACACGCTGCTCCCCACGCCCAACGCAATGGTGGATTCCCAGGGATGTCCCACCCCAGGGACACGGTCAGGTCCAAAAGGCTCAGAGGTTCCTCATGCTTTTGGAAGCCTCCTTTGTTGTGTGAGGAGGGTCCCTATCATTCACAACTGCCCATGGCATCTGCCAATGCTCCCCTCCCCAGGCCCAAAGGGATGGGGCGGGTGGGGGGTGTATGGTGTTGCACGTGCAACCGGGACAACCAACGGTCTTGCTGCACGCTGACCTCACCGGTGTTTTTGGCAGACCATCTACCTTTCCCTTCTCTACGCCCGGTGGCTGAGGGTCTCCTCCTCAGTTTGGTGCCTGCTTCCCATGTCCAAAACCCAGCCTAAGCAATCCTCTTCAAAGGCTGAACTGCCACAAGTGACACACTTCACGGGAAAAAACAAAAACACCTTCACTCAAAGGAGTCAAGCAGATTACAAAAGCCATCTCCCTCTTCACCCCTAAGCCACAGGAGACTTACTCTGGCAAGCAGCCGCTATCAGAAGGGACTGTTGGGGCGGGAAGGGCACCCCACAGTTCAGAGCTGCTGCTTGCGGCTGTAGCTACAGGCTGCCAAGAGCCAGGAGCACACAGGACAGAAGACTGCATTTAGGTAAGGGCAGTGATCTGATGGATTCAAATCTTGATTGAAGGAACCCTTAGATTCACTTGTTTGATGGTGGGGAAAAAAAAGAGTCTTTGGCCATGCTGAGCATGCAGGAAGTCCTGGGGGCGGCGGGGGACTGCATACGTGTTTGCGTGCATACAAAATATACTGCAGGTGTCTAGTTTCTCAGACAGCCAGCGCATTCGGAAGTGAGAATCTGCTCAGGACTGTCACATCTAGTGCTGCCAAATACATCTGCCCTTGTACAAAATGCAGCAGATGAGCCGCTCTCCTCCAGCCTCCGTGCCAGCCGTCTCATTAGTCCTGAGCTGAACCACGCACTGCAGCTGGGTGGGAGTGCACGGAGCTTTGCATCCTCAGCTTTTGGATGGCCATCGCTTGGCTTTCAGCTGGAAGGTCCTGAAGAGCTCCTGCTCAGCTCGGTGCCGGCTGCTCTGCAGGGCTCCGATCTGGAGAGCCGCAGCAGCTTCACCGTCAGTTCTCCAAGTCAGAGCCAGCATCGCCAGCACCCTCACCCTGCCCCGATTGCCCCAGCGAACGTGCATGCTGCAGGGCTGGAGCTGGTGAATCCTCCCCGACATGGTGTGTGTCACTTGGAGGGACTCTGCGGAGTCAAAGCCCTCGCTGTATCCAAGGGCTTAGCGAGAGACCCCGCTCAGCACAGCTGGGCTGATCGGATACTAAACCCTAGAGCCCATTTCAACAACATCCAGCCGATCAGGGATGGTTCAAATACTGCTAGTGAAATATTCTGCCTTTCACAAAGGATAATAGCTTCTGCAGCCTGTGAAGCATGACGGATGCATCTTGCATCCTTTACACAACAGTATTGGCTGATATACTGCCTTCATTTCACCGCTCAACTCGGCCAAAACCAAGGGAGACACTTGCATCACTCTCTTCCTGCATTTACTTCCTCCTCCTCCCTACATCCTGCTATTATCAAGATATTCTATAAGCTCACCGTTTTGTCCTGAGTGACCGAAAAGCAAACTAGAGTCTTCACACCATTTAATTTTAGGTTCTGGAGATCAGAATAACACAATGATTGAAGAGAAGGAAAGTCTCCAGACGATGAATACATCAACCACATTCAGGTGCTGCTCATCCCACCCCACCAGCCTCCTGAGCGACATGTCTGGGGTAAGGCACTGTGATTACCCTTCCCTCTGAAAACACAAATTAACTATTAGAGGAAGGACAGAGAAAAAACGAGAAAATTACATTAAAAAAAGAGGAGGTATGTTCCTACCAGTCTGGGACCCAAAGTCTGTGTGCCCTGCAAGCTTTTCTTACAATAAGCAAGAATTGTGGGGTGCATTTGTTTTGGGAGATTCTCAGAGGCATGTTGGGGAATGGCCGCCAATCCCATTGACTTCTTTTGTGTTTCTGAATTAAAAAAAGAAAGAAATCTCTTACCTTGTCAATACTGACCCTGATTTGTTAAAGGTCCATTTGTCAGGGGTAATACATTGCTGCAGTGTCAGCGTATTAGGATTTACGCTTCCCTGTAAAGATGGGTTCATTTCAGAAACCCAAGGAACTTCAGTTACTTGACTTTCGTCTGTCCTTTAAATTCTATTGTAGTATAAAAACCACCCTGTAATCAGGTGCAGGGACTGACATGCCCCACAACGTGGTGACACAGGGCAGTTGCCCACAAAGGGATGCTGGTAGCGAGGCACACCAGGAAGATGGCATGACCAGAAGAAACCAAGGAGCAGCAGGACCGAGGACCGCTCCCTCCTGCCAGGCTGGTCCTGTCTTCTCCCCACTTGGGAACCTCCCACAGGTCCCACCGAAATTGGGCTGCCTCCATCACTGGTGGCAACAGCCCTGAGGCCGACCCTTCCCACGGCGACGGTGAGCCTCGCTGCGCCCCAGCCTGACTGCCGGGGCCAGACCTCCACAGGGAATTGCTGCCTCTGTAGCACAAAGCGTTCCATCTCCTCTCACGCCAACCGCTGGCACTGAGCAGCCGGCTCAGGACTCGGTCCCTTGCCAGCAACGCTCCTGCTCGGGCGAAAAGGCCACCCGATGGTGGCAAGCAGCTGCGTGCTGGTGTGCGCGTTATTTCGGACGGGGAAGAGACCCTGCTCTGTTTTCTCTCCAGCTGAGGCGGCTGGCAGGCTGCTGCCTCTGTTTGCACAAGCAGCCTCGTACTTCACCAGCGCAAGGGTCCCTCCGCACCCCTGCCCGCCCCGTCCATGTCCGCGGGGAGCCCTTGGCTGCCTCCGGCCACGAAACGCTCCCCGGCCCAGGCACGAGCCCTGCTGCAGTCCAGGCCCCGCTGCCCGAGGGCGGATATCGTTCATACGACAGACCCTTCTGGTCCTTCCTGGCCGTGCCTTCAAGATCAGTCTCCCGCGGCTCTCGCGGCGTCCGCGGGTCCTCGGCCGCTGCTTTCTCCATCCCTCGCCACGTCTCACTCCGCTGCCTCCGCAGAGGCACCCCGATTTACGCCACGGCCCGCAAGAGGAAGATCAGGCTCGCCGACTCCACCAGAAATCTCGTACCAGCCCCGAAAACTGACAGCAGGCAGAGGCAGCTCCAGGCTAATGTCACAGCCGCAGCTTCGGCACACGGCGGGCAGAGTCTGACCTAGTTTTAGCCCTGCTAAGTATGCAAAGGAAGAAGACGAGAGTCTGCAGGGAAAAGCAGTCCAAGGTGTTCTCTATTTCCTCGGTACTTCTCCGTTGCTTTAGCTTTAACATTCATACTACACGGAAACGTTTCCCCTGCCGGGTCTTCTCGTGGGTGCACCAAGAGAGGAAAAACACGGTAACATGCGGAGGGTGGGATGTTTGGGGTTTTTTGTCGGTGCGGTTTGGGTTTCTTCGGTTTTTGGTTTTGGGTTTTTTTTTGTACAAGCTTATAGGGAGGTGGAATTTTTCAAAGGTTAACGTTTTGACAGAACGTAAGAAAAATTTGAAAACCTTTTTGCTGTCTTTTGAGCAGAAATCTCTCTTCAGCTGTTTACCTTTCCATTTTGCTTGGATTTTGCAGTCTTTGTTCTTAACTTAGTCACTGAGAGCTAAATGCTACCCTGACTATCATTCTGACAGGTCTGTTTGTTTGTTTGTTTTCTTTTTAAGGAAATGGATTTTTGTGCACTTGGCTTTATCTTTGTTTCAACATCTGCTTTTCCCTTAGCATTTCTGGTTCACTTTCACTATAAAAAATACTCAAACTTCAGCTTCTTCTCCTGATCTTTTATTAACTCTGGACTATTTGTGTAGTACATAACTACTTCATTGCTATGGAAACACCATTTAATTTGAATCACCTGTACAGTTTGTTTTTCAGCACCTTAATCTCAATACAGAATCACAGAATCATTAAGGTTGGAAAGGACCTTCAAGATCATCAAGTCCAACCATTAACCCAATACCACCATGCCCCCTAAACCATGTCCCAAAGTGCCACATCCACACGTTTTTTGAACACTTCCAGAGATGGTGACTCCACCATCTCCCTGGGCAGCCTGTGCCAATGCCTGACCACCCTCTTGGTGAAGAAATTTTTCCTAATATCCAATCTAAACCTCCCCTGGCACAACTTGAGGCCATTTCCTCTTGTCCCATCACTAGTTACTTGGGAGAAGAGGCCAACACCCTCGTCGCCACAACCCCCTTTCAGGTAGTTGTAGAGAGCGATAAGGTCTCCCCTCAGCCTCCTCTTCTCCAGACTGAACCCCCCCAGTTCCCTCAGCCGCTCCTCATAATACAAAACTGCTCACTGACAGAGCAGAGGGCTTGATCGAGGGTACATGCGGCACAGCGCTCTGGTCTGCACCCTTCTGTTAGTGCTGAGCCCCTCAGCCAGGGTCTGGTGATGCCCGAGAGGTAAATGTGTCCTGTGAGTCTGAGTACACACCTGTGAAATACCACGCAAGATGGGGCATATTGCCCAGCATAAGGACCAAAAGAACCTGTGGCAAAAAGAAACTATATATTTGCTACCAGCGATCATGAGAGAGAAGAGAGGCTCTTCTCGTCCAGCACACCTAAATGAATGGATAGCCCCAGCGCAGAGCCAGTTTCCATCCTGGAGAACATGAGCTCTGCAAAGCAAAGCAAGTGGAGAAATGTGGGGAAGACATCACAAGGAGGGAGATTCATCCTTCCTGGGGAGGGAGAGGACAGTAACAGGACGCAAAGATGCAACCCGGTTTTGAATGCGCTCGTACTGCATAAGGGGCACTGCCACTCGATGGCACATAGAAGAAGTCTCAGATGTGGAGATCCTTGTCGGAGTGGCTAAGACAAAAAGCCAAGGACAGGAAACCATGAAAACATGAAAACCATGAAAACCATTATTCAGTAGACCGCAAATGGTGGTGTTTCTGGCACAGGTTGAGACAATGCTGTTCGTTACGACTCCTGTGAACATTCCTGACCTTGCTCAGGAAGGCTCTTAATTAAATTATTATGTCCCTTGACTTCAGCACAACTCAGGCATATGCTTGTATGCTTTCCTCAGCAAGGCTTTTTTCTGAATCAGGATCTCCATGATTACAGTCAACTAATTATTTGAAAAGCGTTTTCATCTGGGCTCCAAGCAATCAAATTAAATACAATTAATGTGGGTTTGGCAGGACTCCATGCAAAAAAAAGTTGCTCTTTTTTTGCACAGAATTGGAAAATCAGTTTTTGCTAATAGCCTGACATATGAAATCTTCTGGTCCAGCTTTTCACCGTTTTCCCAACTTTTCCATTTTGCTGCAAAACTGTTGATGCTTATCAGAACTTCTGTTCTGATAAACGAAGCCCCAAATCTCACAACATCCTGCCTTTAGTACAAGACCTTGTAGGAACGAATTGCTACGGTTTGCAGTAAAAGTTGATAAAGACAAAGAGCATGCTGAAAATAAAGGAATCAACTGTATGCCACTTTATCAAAAGAGACACGGCAAGACAACGATGTAAATCACGAGGCATTAGCAGCTATGGGAGACTTCAGGCACGAAGGTAATGGAATAACACAAAGTAGAAAAAACATACGTATAAAAACATACTGAAAACCAAACCTAATTTTAGACAGAAGTGCAAACAAGCATACATACACTTTCTAATGAAGCTCACAAGAACAGTCTACTTGTCTCTTTACTCAGTATTTAGTAGGAAATTCACTTGATTTTTCCCTCCAAACAGCTATCCTCATGGATCATTTTTCACAATGAAGCAGGGAAAAAAGCACATCTAAACCTGAAGGCAGTGTGTGTCTATTTTTGGCTCACTGAATTAGAGAGCATCCTTTTTATTGAAGAAATTTTGATGCAAAAATCTGAGACTTCATGGCTGTAAAACACATGTCAGTCATAGAAGAGATAAATGATTTGGAAATGCCATGAAGCTGTGTTAGAAGAAGGATCTATCTTTATTAAATCAAAATTGGAATAAGAAGAGTCAGGCTGATGAATGACATCTTTAGTAAGCAGAGGCATGTGAATTTTTACTATATGCTAAAGCATTGCAATAGCAAAAGCAATCATTGTAAATATTTACGTTACATACAGCGATTAATCCCTAAAGTAGGCAGAATTTCAGGATAAAATATTTGAGCTGATGCAGTGTCAGAGGGGATGGCAGTGTCCGTCACACTGCTCTCAGCAAAAGGAAGCAGTCCTCCTTACTTGGAAGGACTTGGAGCTGTGTGCCCACCAGTTCAAGCCACTGAGTGCTGGAATAAAGGCAGCCCAGCTGCCTCCGACCCCCGGATGCTCCGAGCCCCGGATGCTCCAGCCTCATGGACAGCAGCTGGAAGGCACCAGCCATCGGGACGGCAACGTGCCCTGCAAGATACAGGGTCCCTCGCGCAGGCTTGTTCCAGGCTCTCAAGACAGGGTCTCGATAATCAAAATTGTGAGTGTGTTGTCATGCTAAGAACGTCAGAGCTGTTTATAGTTTGCATATTTTTGCATTGTTATTGCACAATTAAGCTGAAGACTTCCAGACCAAGCTGGCCCCAAAGCACAAGGAAATTCAGCAGTAGTCAATTTTCAATCCTGTTAATTGGTCAGAGGCAAAAAAAGAAACTATTTGGGCCAGTGTGTGCCATGCATGTTGAGAAGGTGCAGTCAGCAGTTTATTAAGAATTAAACCTTTTTTAGGGTAGCAAATGTATATTAAGTGACATCAAGTATCACTTGTATAAAATGACCACTGAAGAACTGGTTTAGACTTTTTCTCCGAGGTTCTAGCAAGAAGATTTCTTTTTGATATCCCCAGCATTTTGTCTAAAAATACCTGTCCCATCAAGTTATTCTTTCAACCAGAGAAGGGACTGGAGAAGGAAAACAGATGTCTGATGGATCCTCAACAAGAATATAGGAAAGCATGACAAGAAAACATATGCCATATATTTTTTTATGGTCTTTTCTTTCTGTTACAGTTATTAATACCATGCAAATAATGTGCACTGAGATCTTTAAACATCTTCTAACCATTCAGTAAATCATTTCACAGAATAATGAATTCAGTACCGTGAATCAGCCACACAAATTTTATGACTTCTTTTGGTTTTTATGTCACATCTGGAAACCCATTGGAGATGGTACTTTGGTGCACCTTCGGAGAATGATTCTTGGCTTTGTCTGAGGATGCCCTCTCCTCAGCTCTCCATGCCTGTGGTTAGGACCTCTGTTTCCACCGAGGAGTAGGAGTGGGACACGCTGGCCATCTCTGGTGCTGTATGGTACAGCAGAGAAACTGCCTCATGTTCTTGGAAGTGAGCCCTGTGTTACACAACTGCAGTTCAAAGGTTACAAAGGCAAAGGCTCTGCCAGCAGACTCAACACTTCAAAGCAGTGGTAACAATTGTTGGATCAGAGCAGAAAGAAGTTGCCTGTGGGTCCCCAAAGCAAACTGGAGTCTCAGAAGCAAAAACAGGATCCAGAAGAATCTTACTGAGAAACAACGAGAAAAAAACCTACTCATTTATGTGGAACAAAAGCCTGAGTCCTCAAGAAACTCTCCAAGTTGCTTCCATATCCAATCAATATTTTCTCTAGCACATATGGAATGAGCCTCAGCCAACTTCCTCCCCCAGACATTCCTGTTCCTGACTATCCTTAGAAAGAAACAAGACAGTTAATTCAACGAATCTCATTCATACTTACAGAAGTTGCCATGCTTGGAGGGACAGTCTTACCATCCAGTTTTCCTGACTCAACAAATTATTGCAGATAAGCTCAGCCACAGATTACATCCGTACATATGCTCTTAGCTCCCGGCAGATGCAAGGTAATGTCACTTATGTTCGGTCCTCTAATGACAGACAGAAAATCTGAAGACTGAAATTTCTGATGATTGCAAAGGAAAGAAAGAGGAAATTTAAGACTGGTCATAGATGACATGGGGGTGGAGATGAAGCCTGGTCTACAAACACCATGTAAGGAAGGTGGAATTCCTGTTTCGTACAAGCCTGACTCTTAGAGTCAGCACCAAAGTCACATCAGCTTAGGAATGATCAGCAAATAACCTTGCCAGAGGCACAATGCCAGCAATTTGGATTTGCTTGAGTATGTCCAAAGAAAATACTCAGCTTAAGTATTTCTCCACAGACCATCTTCTGGTCCTCTCCCCCTCCTGCTGCAGCAAATCTCCTCAAAACTTATCTTTTAAAAAACTATCTGCTGCAAAAT